GGGAAACATTGATGTGTGAGCAAAACATAGATCAGCTGGGATTGAGCTGCCCCCCTACTGGGATTGAGCCGGAAACCTGGGCATGTCCCCTGACTGAGAATCGAACAGGTGACCTTTCTGTGCATGGGATAATGCCCAACCAACTGAGCCACACTGGCCAGGGCTATTTAAATTATTTAAGTGTATGGCTTATATAATTGTTGTAAATATGGTTACAAGCCAAGGTTTTTCTCAGTGTTTATAACATTTTTAAGAACTGGAAACCAACTAGTTCAATTATAGGAGAACTGTTAAATAAATTGTTAAATAGAAAAGGAAATAAAATGTTATATAGCCTTTGATAGAATTTTTCTAAGAAACATCATCTATGTGTTGTAAAATAAATAGACAAATAAAGCTCTGAATGTATAGAAATGAATAAAAATAAATACCTCAAAATGTTACCATAAATTATTTCTTTTATTTTTAAACCAGTGGTATCCATTATTTTTTAATCAGAAAAAAGAGACCTATTTTCAGTTAAAATAACCTATCCTGTAGATAAGTATGGAATTTCATACTAGGGGCTCTTTGCAGTTATCATCTAGGCCAGTTATACAAGTGTCAAGCTGCTTTTCAGGCATTGTTCAGAGAAAATATTGCTAAGAAAGCAAAACAGTGAATAAGTAAAATAAATCAATAAATTAAACAAAACCCAGAGTTTACAGATTCTCCTGCAGCCAAGTCATGACTCTTACTTGTCTGCGGTCTCAGTCCTTGTTAACTTCCTTTCATGGCACCATCTCCTGGAGGGACTGACTATTTTCTGTCACCCAAATGTGTTTCCCTGCTTTGCAGGATACTGAGGCCATTGTTGCATTGCATTTGTTTCATTCCACTTCCAGAAAATTTTCTAATGTGGCTAAGTGTTTGAAAGGACTCTGACGTGAATGCCATAACCATATTGCTTTCCACCAAGGAGATTGTTGTAGCAGAAGATATAAAAGCAGTAAGATCTGTATGATAGAGTGAGAACCACTCACCATTTCAAAGATAGGCCCCTGCCAATCCTTGTGATTTCTGTGTGATTAATGTGCACATTGGCAATAGTCAGGGACTTGTGCACACAAGTAAACAACATGTGCCTGAGAGTAGGGAGAAATTATTTTAGTTTCTCTTTGCATTAGATCTTTTTCACCATAAATATATTTGGCCAACAGATAGTATGGTTTTGGCAGAAGATAAGATAATGGTGTATCTCTTAACATTTGGAGTGAAGAGAAAAATTTAATAACATTGAATATCAAAGGCTTGAAATACTTTGAGTAGTTTCAGTCCTCTGGTCTCCCTGGATAATACATAAAAGAAAAAAATAGTCATTAATCATTGTTTTTTTTCCTAGCAGGTATAACATCTATGGTAGTAAGCAAAGTCTAGAAAATGTTTCCTTTTCTAAATCTACAAATAGCTAACAAATTGAATGCATAAAAATAGTAAAAGAGGAATAACCCTATCACTGAAAACCTTTTCAGCCTTTCCTTAATTTTATCTAGAGTTAACACCTAACCTGAGCAAATGGATTCTTGTCAACTGTTGTATTTTAATGTTGTTTTATTATTGCAGTCAGTAAATATGCAGTGGAAATACTTTAGTAAAGAAAAAATTGTGGAACAGATTCCAGAGGTAAAGGGGGAATTGGGGCACCACTAGTTATCAGAGCAATACCAGAGTCAGAAAAATGTGAGGCAGCCTAGACAATGGACAGTCCTTTCTGCAATGGTCTTTAGGCTCTGTAAAATCAAAGTGTTGATTTTGGCTAAAGAAATCAGAATTTATTACTGATGGACTCAGAGAAAGATAGAGGACTGTTAATTTCTTCCCTTCACTAAGGTAAGTCATTCATTTTTGCCTTTTCCCCTCTGTAGTCAAAGTGGTAGTTTCCTTGGCACCCTGACTCTACCAGCATTGTTAATGTCAATATTTTGGTGATTTTTATTTACCACCATTCTTACCAACCCTTTTCTACATGCTCTATGCCTCTGTGTGTTTGGGGGGG